ATATAACATTTAGTAAAGAATACGATCGAACTATACTATAATATTATTAGGGACTTAAGATTTTATGTTCAAAAGAACTATCTACCATCCTGCTCACCCAAATAGGTTCACTAAACTATCCGCATAACTACTACTATTCGTATGGACTTCGGTAATGTTATATATAAACCCACCTCAACTCCTTTAATTACTACTACAACATCAAAGATAATAAAAATAATACTACGAAACACTACCGTAATCAACAATATTATAGTATTACCCCAAAATAAATATGACTTTAAAGACTTTGTAGATTAAAGTATTTCTTATTTTTTGATTTACATGTTTTGTCAATAAACTGCTCTTTACCAAAATGTTTTTTAACATTTTTATCAATTCCCAAACCTCTATCAATTTCATTAAGTTTATTACACCTCACTTTCCAAAAAATCATAGATTTATCCAAAATTTCATTCCTAAAATTATATGACAAAATTTCAACTTTTGATTTCGTAGATAATAATTGTTTAAAAAAATTAATTAACAAACAAGGAAAGAAACCTTTAATTAAATCTATGAAAGTTATGTGATCCTCTGATACTTCAAGTTTCCAAATATCATTGAGATTTTTAATATGTTCAAAAGTAATATGATTAATAGAAGAGCGGGAGATAAAACAATTTGAAAAAGAATTTGTTAATAGGATCTAAAATTTTATTAATTTCTAAAAGAAGCCAATTTTGTACTCCTGAAATTAAATCATCTATATCCTCTCGTCTTTCTTCACAAAACCAGATATGATTGAAATTTTCTTCATCCTCTTCACACATAGGACAAAACCTTTCTTTATATAATGAAAATAAAGTTTTTTTAATTTGTTCAACGCAAGGAAATTTTTTAATCATCAACTGAATTTTGCATCTTCTAATTTTTGATTCTTTGAAATCAGTACACAGTGAAATTCGATAAACTAGATCTTTGATAAACCGGATTTGGGCCTAAACTGGACTTTTTTGCTGGAACCAAATCACATATATTAAAATAGGTTCAATATACTAGAGTTTACTAGTAAAAGCTCGATATTCGCTATAATGGATCAATTTTCCAACAAATGATTCGATAAACCAGATCACGTAATCATTAACCAATAAAATTTAAGTAACGTGATGCGGTAAATCTTAATTTTGGCAAGAATTATAAAAATAAAAATCTTAATTCCAGCCGAAGTTATATATTACTTATATATTCAATTAAAACATTTTATATTCATTTTCATGACCTCTGTGACTTAAAACTAGGATGAAAAATTAGGATATAGTGTATATTAGTTTTATTAGCATGAATTTTTTTAAAAAATTCAGTATAATAAATTTTCAATATATCGAAATTTTTTCACTATACCGAATATCCCGATAAACTGGATATTTTTAGTGGAACTGATAGATCTGGTTGTTAAAATTGTCACGTTAATCACGTGATACATAATTTCATATAAATAAGGGCTTTTCCCCGAAATTTGAATTTTTCTTCCTGCTTGACATAAAATAAATATGTATATCCATTAGTGCCTATTCATGATATAGTCACAATATATCAAACAACGCAATCACAGTATTGTAGATGTATTGCAATTTTGTATTAACGTATAATGCATTGTTACGTTACTGGGATGGTTGCATGGTACTAAAAACCTGCCCGCATAATAAATACTGTAATCTCATTACAAAATTACCTTTTATAGAAATTTTCCGGGTCCATATTGACTGGGTTGTCACCTTGATGTATCCTAGAGCAGTATATCTCATCTATACAGTTACGGTGTGTTACACACTCTTTTTGGGTTCTTCCAATAATTATTACTATCTATTGCGGTTTGGTAGTACAAAAATTGAATTAGTCAAAGTTAACCAGATTCGGTATACCCTTTAATTCTTTAATTTATCTTTTCTTTGATATACAAGTTAAAAGGCTGCAAGCAATGCTTTATTTGCGTGTTGAATTACCAAAAGGAAAATTCATTATAGTATATCCTATTCCTTTGTGATAATTTGTAAATCAAATCAGCATCTGCCTACTTAAAGCGGTTGGAACGAAGTCCCCGACCTTGAGACCTGAAGGCCATAGGTCTAAGGACCAAGGGAAATAAGGGATCACTTAAACCTTTGAATTTCAAATGCACGCTAAATATTACACTGCGCTGTGTTTGGTGTAAAGTAGGGTTTAACTTGTTAATGACAAGCTTTATAATTTTGAAAAAATTTGACTTATAAAATAGACTTTATTTTCGAATCAAAATATTATTTTAATAATTTAATAATTTTGAATTAGTTGATAAAAAAAAATATAACTTATTGATATTTTATTATTTTATGTCACATCGAAGGTGCAATATGTGTGGAAGTAACTGAATGTTGCATGGGCTAAGGTTTTAATTATTATTGTGAAATAAATACTTGAACATTCAGTTATGATCCGTTCTATGTAACCATGTTTATAATACTAAAAATTTAAATACGTAAAAATCTTTCTTTAAAAAAAAATTAAATAAATATTTTTTCTTAAATATTTATTTCTGCTTATTCAAGAAATTTTTCAGTGATTTTATATTATGGATACTAATTCAAGTATTAGTTAAAGTAAATCGTCAAATGACACCCTTAAGCCAAGTGTGTCACGCCGTCATGCTGCTACACTCGTTGATAATAAATTATATGTGGATAGGAACAAGCATCAAAAGTATACACTCATATTTCTGCAACATCAGTTAAAGGTGGTGCAAAAATGATACACTAGCTATTTTGTATGGGGATTCACAACACTTGACAATTGATCAAACATGGCAATGGTTATGGAGTAGATATTAGGATGGGGAACGACTTACTCGGTCTGAACTAATATTATTGAATGAACTGACTTAAGTCCGCTTTGTGTTTTAAATTATCACTAGTAAATAGTATTTATACGTATATAATTTTATTTAAAAATGCAACATTTCGCAATGACTTCTTTTTTCCGAATTATATTTAACATTTCTTGCCTGAATTCTTGACTAAAATAAAAATCATAAAAAGCGAATTAAACTCATATACCAATAAATCGAATCAAATAAATTGTAAGGGTAAGATCAATTTATTTTGAATATCTTAGTTCACCGATAACAAAAGGAATATAATTTATTTAATATTAAAACTATGATTACTATAAGATAATCATCTTAGTCAAATATGAAAAAAGTTTATCAATCAAAAATCAAATTATATGCCACAATATTTTTATTTATAAGATTAACTCGAGGTGTTAAACTTTATGTATTAATATTCACTTAATGTCTTATCAATAAAAAACTATTTATTACATAATGATTATAAATTATAAATAAACATTCAAGTAATTCACGTAGATTACCAAACGCGAGTGTTCCTAAAGAATATTATTTAGCCATAATAAAATGACTCTGCATAACCTTATATTATTTATCATTTATATTACTACCACTATCTTCATCATTATTATCCTTATATAATGATGTCATCACTTTTGATCTAATATTTTGTTTTAATTCTTGTTTAATGTCTTGTAGAATATCTTGTTTCATTTGATCTATAATATTTTCATCAATATTAAATTTTGATGATAAATTTTCTTGTCTGATTTTTTGAATAATTTCATTATCTGTTGAGTTGTTTCCTAATTCACGTGTTGTCCCTTGTTGATTATTATAATTTGGTGAATTTGGTATAAATTCTTGTCCATGATTCGAAATTATTAATTCTGTAGGGATCGGTTCATTATATAATTCATCATTCATTATTCCAGGATTTGAAATATTTTTTTTTACTTTTGACATTATTCAGTCCATGGGTTGTAATTGCTTTAGAATTTTCTTGTTTATTTTTATACATTCTCACTAAAAAGTAGCATAACCCAACTAGGAAGATTAAAATTAAACCACTAACTATCCCTCCAATAATTGAAGCAGCTATTATATTTGAAGGAATTGAAGAATCTACAGAAGTTGCTGACACTGGCGCTGATGCTGAAGATGATGCTGATGCTGCTGATGGTGGTGGGCTAGCTGTTCCTGCTGGAGTAACTCCTCCTGGTGGTGCCTTTGCCGGTGATGGTACAGCTCCTTCTGGTGGAGGACCTGGTACATCTGCTGGAGCTTGAGTATTTACTTCATGTATAAATTGAAGTAAGATTATAAAAATTATAAAAATCAAAATAAATATTTTTTTCATTATTAGCAGAGGAAATTATATTTAAGCTTGAGGTTTATTCATATAATTTGACTAAAAAAGTAGTAAAAATAATTAATTTTGTTCAAATTTATATGCAAAATTTGTTATCATGGCACAACTAATAGTAGTAATAGTTCCAAAATTTATCCAATAGTAGTGGAATAATTTTAGTATTATTTGGATGTACCACTGATGCACCTAATAAATTCGGTCGATCGCAATTTCAAATTATGGAATTACAAAAAGTAAAAAAGGAAATTAAACAAAAAGACTTGATTTTAAATCATAACAATTTCCAATTAAAGCTCGTAAGTCTTGTTGTAATCGGTAATCAGCATATTGTGAACGTAGAACATAAAAAATTTTCTGGAATAAAAAAATCTAGTATGATAGATCCCAAAATAACCTAATTATAAATGACTTAGTTCTCTTGGGTTCTTTTTAAAACATTTAAAACAATGAAGGTTGATAATATCACAAACGATTAACACAATACAGGTTGCTTTCCGGGATATATGAAAGTACAGGATAACCTTATACCCGAGGTACCTTTTAAATTTCGAATTCATCCCTCTCATTATATTCATGATATCCAGAATATTGATTTAACAGATTGCTTTAGTATTAGGGTTACCGGTATCTGGTATCCGCTCAGAAAATATAACTAATAATTCCAGCTAATGGGTGCAGACGCTCCAAAACTAATCACGAACCAACAATTCCAGCTCCAGCAGTAGTTAATACTAATAATTATAATTATGAGCGAGAAGTAATTTTAATACTTAATAATAATAGGTTATCATCGAAATTCTTCAATTTATTAAACAAGAAATTGTCTAAAAGTTGAAAAATTCTTCAAGCTATTGGAGAGAATTTTAATAAGTATAATATTATAAAAAATAATACAAGTCAAGTTATTGATATTCAATTGTTTACACAGTATTTTCAATAATATGGTAACAACCAGTTTTTTAAATAACATACACTATATTCGTATATTTTTAACACATGCTATATATCTCGCCTCACCCTAAAAAGAATTCGATAGCAAGTCGCTTCATTCTTTTCTAAATTATTTTAGACTTACTGACCACGTGATTCTGAGAGAAAATTACGTCATCGGTTTTCAGTCAAAATGCGTAAATGCTGGCCATAGGTCACGCTGGGGTAGTCTAAATTATTCAACGAACTGTTACACGGAATCGACTATCGACTATGATGAGAAAACTTTTGTCCTTGCATTATAAAACAGAGAAAAAGGTGCGTTGACTTTTAGCCAATTGCTTTTTATATACGGTCAAATATTGCAGTTTTTTACTTTGACTGGATATGAAACGTAATTTAAAAATAAAGAGAAGATCAAAGTTATAATTTTAAAATTTTTAAAAAAATGAATTTGTAATATGATCCCTGATTAAAATAAGAAACAATTAATTAACCAAATTGTGAAGGTAAAGTTATTTTAAATATCTGAAGGTAATTTGCGATTATTATATATTTTTTTTTTAATCATTTCTATTATTAATTAATTCTCTAATAAACTGTGATGCTACTTCCCATCTAAAATTTTATTTGAATTTTTATTTGATATCTCGTATTACCGAAAAACTTAGTTAGTTGCATTATAATATTTTTTCATTTATTTACTATTTTATGATGATGTTTTTTTATTTCCATTTATATAAATTATATTAAAACGACGACTACATTAATAATATTTTTTTATATATATAATAATCTTTAGGTGTTAAACTTTATATAATTATGTACCTCATTCAGTTTAACTTTTTTTTTTTTGACTTGGAATTTTTGGGTGTTCACTCTCTTATAGTAAGATGGTGGGAATAATTTGTTCATAAAATAAATATATTATTTATTAACATTGCTATTACTACTACTATTATCATCAATATTATCTTTATAAAACGATGTCATTACTTTTGACCTTATATTCTGCTTCAATTCTTGTTTAATATCTAGTAGAATGTCTTGTTTCATTTGATTTATAATATCTTCATCGATATTAAATGATGATAAATTTCTTGCTGGATCTTGACTTAAATTATGAACCATTTCTTGTCTAATATTTTGAATAGTTTCATTATCTACTGAGTTGTTTCCTAATTCGCGTGTTGCTCCTTGTTGATTGTTATAATTTGGTGCAAGTTCTTGTCCTTGATTTGGAATTACTAATTCTATGGGAATAGGTAACATCTTGTTATGATATAAATCATCATTCATGATTCCAGGATTTGAAATATTATTATTATTTTCATTCCCAGGAGTCGCAATTGCTTTAGAACTTTCTTTTTTATTTTTATACATTCTCACTAAAAAGTAGCATAACCCAACTAGGAAGATTAAAATTAAACCACTAACTATCCCTCCAATAATTGAAGCAGCTATTATATTTGAAGGAATTGAAGAATCTACAGAAGTTGCTGACACTGGCGCTGATGCTGAAGATGATGCTGACACTGATGCTGAAGATGATGCTGATGCTGCTGATGCTGCTGATGGTGGTGGGCTAGCTGTTCCTGCTGGAGTAACTCCTCCTGGTGGTGCCTTTGCCGGTGATGGTACAGCTCCTTCTGGTGGAGGACCTGGTACATCTGCTGGAGCTTGAGTATTTACTTCATGTATAAATTGAAGTAAAATAATAAGAATCATAAAAATCAAAATGAATATTTTTTTCATTATTAAAGGAAATTATATGATAAAAAAAATAATTTATATAATATATTCATATAATTTGACTGAAAAAGAAGTAAAAATAAGTAGGTTTGTTCTTATAAATTTATATGCAAAATTTGTTATCATGACACAACATTTTATTTTTTGTGTAATAATAGCTAGCAATCTTATCCAATAATAGTAAAATCTATTTATTTGTATGTACTTTAATAAACTCGGTTGAAAAAAAAAAAAAAAAAAAAAAATTTTCATAATAAGAAAACTTTTTATTCTTGCAATTATAAAACTTGAACAATATTATGAAATTACAAAGAGTAAACAATGAAGATTCGGTTTCATAGCACAATAATATACATACAGTAGTAATTGCAGTATGATAATTTCACTTAATAATTTCACGTAATGTTTTTTTTAGACGCTCGTAGGAGTCCTATAAGTTTACCATACAATCGTTATCCTAATGACTTATCCTATTACGCAACAGTATTACAAGTATACGGAACTTACTGATCAATATTACATGTCTTATCTTTTTTCATCTTGCTGCGGCATCTTGTTCTTTTAAAAACACAAAAGGCAGAAACAAAGTAAACTGTTTATTTAAGTCCTTTACTAATTATTACTTGAGGTTTTTATATTTTTCCTAAAATTTCTACATAATATTCTCCCTATGTTAGTTAACAAAGGGATGTTTCTAACTTTTATGAGCGTCCAAACTTTGGTATATAGTAACTTAGTAGTCTCAAGTTTCGAAAATTAATAAAGAATAATTTTCTAACGTTATCTTTAATTTTATTCCCAAACTTTTATCATTTTTGTATGTGAAATAAAATTTCAAAAATAGACAAGTTTTTCGTTTGTGATCCTTTATTCTTCTTTTTTACTGTACTTTATATATATAAAAAAATAAGGAAATATTTTTTTTTTAAAGGTAATCGTGAATTACAGTTTATTTTAGCTAAAAAAAATGGAATTTCCGGTTTAGGAAAAAAAAAATGTAATTACGGTAGAATAATTGAACGAATATTCTAAATAAACAGTAAAAAATAAATTTTTTAAAAATTTCATCGGAGTACGATCGCGTGTAGTAAAAAACATTATTTTTTTTTATGAAATATCAATTCGTTAAGTGGGCGATATAGTTAGCATATGAATTCCACTAGCCAAAACAAATTATTTTGTATTAAACTGAAAATTAGTAGGGGTGCTTTTTTATTCAGCGGTAAACAAATAAGGTAACAAATTTTATAAATATGCAGAAGCATACTCATTATAATATTACTTGATATAGAAATTTAAAATAAAATCTATTTAACCATTTATATTACTGTGCAACTTTAAAACTTTATCGATTATATAGATAAATCAGTTTTCATGCAAAAAAAAGTGACGCCGTTTCAAAATGGCTGAAATTGATGTCGATTACGCAAGGTAGTGACAAAAAACAAAATATGTGTAATATTTGCGATATAATGGAATACATTTTTTTTATGCTGAAAAGGTTGAAGGTTAATCAAGGGGTATCGTTATTGACCTGTGCAACATCAAAGGTTGATGAGTGTCACAAAATCAGGGTGGTTTCTATAATCTTGTGTTAGTGTTTTTTTACCATCTTACATCAATTATTAATATTCATGAAGCTTATGTAATTGCAAGCAATAATAAGGAAAAATTCAAGGATTTTTTTATTTCTCTTTTATTTTTATTTTTTTATTTTTTGAAGAGCAAGTTTCGAAACTTTCAAAGTCAGCATTAAAGTCACCTCTTGAAAATAACTTGTCTATTAAATCTTTGAATCTTTCAATGCTTAACACCATATTTACCTGGGTTATTGTTTATTGTGATCATACTCGGTGATCACAAGCTTTTATTAAAAATTCCTTATTAGAACTTCTTTTTATTTTTATACTGATTAAGTACTGATTATTTTCAAGCCGAAAAAATTATTTTAATTATTTGATATTTGTATTGATATTGAATTGGTTGACAATACCTTATGATTTTATGTCACATCGCATACGAAATTTATGCAATAAATTTATTTATTATTAATTCTCGAATATTCATATTTCATACTTTTAATACAAAGTGTACCGCTAAAAATTTAAATACCGTAAAAAAATAAAGGTAATTAAGTGGTTTTTCTTAAATATTTATTTCTATTTTTACGTCCAAATCTTGCTGATATTAGCAAAGTAATTGGCCCAAAATTTCGCATAAAGTTCGTTTAACTAGACCGTTTGTCAATCATAATCATGTCAAAAAATTCTTTAGTTAATTTCATATTATGGATACTTCAAATATTAGTGCCAAATTACACCCTTTAAACAAAGTGTACTACTATATACTAGTCGATACGGCTACACTCATTGATAATAAATTATATATTTTGGGTGAATTGGATTTATCGCCTTTTTCAAAATAGTGTACGCAGTTTATTTGTGATTGTATATTCGAATACCAATATTCGCCCGGGTTTCATCCGTTTTTTGTCCATATTTCGTCCGGTTTCGTCCGGGTTTCGGGTTTCTTTTTTTTTTATTCAAATTTAACTGCGTACATCATTTTGAAAATATAAAACTATTAAAAGAATTTTTTTTTATTGATGTTTCTGTACCATTTAATACTCAACAATCATCATGGCAAGATTTATCAAATATTAATATGGGTTACAACATATCTTTTTGCAGCATCAGTTAAAGGTGCAAATAATGATAAACTATTTTTATATGGACTAATAACAACTATGGCATTGGTTTATACATTTATTTAATTCACGTAATATTGTATGAAGTATTTCAAAAATGAATGGAATTAATACAATTAGAAAATATGTTTAACATGTGTTATTGACTGTATTACTATAATGGAAAATTTTACTTATGAGGCAGAACACGGGCAAGAAATTATGCGAACGCTCCAAAATGAAGATACAACTAGTAATTACGAACCAGCAATTCCAGCTCCAGCAATAATTAATACTAATAATTATAATTATTACGGGCAAAATAATTTCAACATCTGATAAAGATGTTATGCGGTCGGTACTACCCAGACCTTGTCAACATTATTTAAAATACCAAATCAGGTAATCAAAACTTTATTACTGGAAGACGGGAAGAATTCCGGCCGGTCTTTGGAATATTGCAACACCGCCTTCGCCTTAAAATCTGTGGCGCAGTAGGTTAGATTGGACTACCCCTGCGTACCTTCAAAAATGTCACGAAACGGCCGGCATTACGGCGTTATGCACTAACACGTGAAAATAAACAGTGACGAATAAGGGTGTGACGAATATGTTTTTACTTACTCGAAAAAAACTAAGTCCCTCAGATACTTATGAAAAATGGAAACAAGGAAGGGTGTGACGGATGTGACAAAAAAAACAGTCACGTGAATTTTCGTGACATTTTTGAAGGGTACGCAGGGGAAATCGTTAGATTGCAAAATTTGATCTCAATCTGATCAATCAGTTCAGAGTCTTACAGCTGATTTCATAATATACGGGACACCTAATAGTTACCGAGAGACAACTCGGTACATTCGGTAAAACTCGGTAAAGTTCAGAATAAGGTAAAACCATATCGTTAGATTCGGAGCACTGGTCCGAGAACAGAACAGTGTAGTTTTTATTTTATTCTGAGTTATACCGAATCTTACCGAGTTTCTCTCGGCATGGAGTAAAAATGATGGGTGTCCCGTATATTATGAAATCAGCTGTAAGGAAAAAATTTTTTTTTTTTACCCGGTCTTACCCGGCTTTTTACATTTTATCCGATGTTGCTCTTGGAAAGGGTAGGACTGGGCTCAAATTTCGTCATTTGACGGTCTTTGCTCTATGCTACTACTATGAACAAAATTCTAAAGGTGCAAGTTTTGTTACTTTTCCAAAGACCGACCAGGACAAACAAGACTGAAAAGACCGACTTAACATCTTTAGCTGTGAGATCATAGAGAAAAGAATCAGTTTAATATTACAAAAAAAATAATACAAGATTAAATTACAGTAATTATCAATTGTGTAATGAAAATAACTGAAGTAAATAATGTAATCTTTTTTTTCTTAAATAACGTACAACTGAATATATGTGTATATCAGTATATGCTTTTTATCTCGCGTCACCCAAAGAGAGAATCGATGTCATTATTTTTTAATCATTTTATGTAAAGGGAATTTTCGCATTGAGTTGTCACAAAAATTTTATAACAATTTAGGCCAAATTTGTAGTTCCTAATTTCAATTATTATCGTTATGCTTTCTAATAACAAAAATAAAATTTAAATCTTATTCGAAAATTCATGAATTAGAGTTTATTATTAGAAGAAATTATAACATATATAAATATAAAATGCCAGATTATCTCCATAGAAAATAAATAAAAACAACCGGAAAATGAAATTATTAGGATTTAGCTCAATTTTCGACTTTTTTTCTTTCATTAATTTCATCGTGTAATAGACTATATCAGAAATTATAATGATGGTTGCACGGTACTAAAACCCATACCATTATTATTTACGGAATGACATAAACAAATCAAATGTGCAGATACCTTGTATAGAAATTTTTCCTTTAGTAATTAATGTCTTACAATATGCAGAAGAGATTTTTCTATGCATCCACACAGTTTGTGGTGTGTTACATTTTCTTTCTGAACCAATAATTATAAACTAAAATAAAGTAAACTAAATTCGTTATACCCTTTAATTTTTCAATTTATTACTATTTTTTCCCTATAAAAACGAAATGTGTTAAATTTGTTGTTCATGTGTAATAAATGTCTAAAAATGCACCATTTTGTTTAATTTTCGTTTTTTTTGTGATTAGATATAAATCGGACAAAATGGTGCTTTTTTAGACATTTATTACACATGAACAACAAATTTAACACATTTCGTTTTTATAGGGGTTTAACTTGTAAGATTAAAAGAATGCAAACAATGCTGCCTCGAATTACCAGCAGGAAAATCTCCTGTTCTAAGAAACGTTTTATGATATTCTGTAAGTCAAATCTCAAATCCAGCATTCAGATTATATGTCTACTTGGAGATTGAATGTGTGCTAACATGAAATTACACCGCATGAGTATTTGGTAAGTTTTAATTGATCACTCTTTAATTTTGAAAATAATTGTAACAATTATTTCTTGTTGGAACTTCCGTTTTACACTGTTTATTTTCAAGTCAAAGATATTTTTAATAATTTAGTAATCATATCTTAATATATCTTAATATTTTGAATTGGTTGATAAAACAATAACCTAGGAGGAAAATAATAACATACTATATAAATATGCCTGATTATTTGCATAGAAAATAAATAGAATTTTATTAAAACAACTGGTAAATTTTTTTGTGGCTGATTAATTCCGATGGAATAGCTCTATTTTCAATCTTAGTTTTTTTTGATTTCGATTTTGCGGTGCGTAAGCCATAAAAAAATTAAAAAAATGTCCGACACGGCTTTAAGGGATGGTTGTGTTATAAACCCTGCATTATTGTTTAAGGAGACTAATGAACAAAATAAATATGCAGAAATCACATTATAAAATTACCTGATATAGAAATGTTCAATTAATAATTACTGACCGTATTCATACATACATCTTTCAATTGTAGGAACATCACGTTTTTGGTAGTTAATTTTTAATTTATTATTTTTTTTTGATTTACAAGATTAAAAGATGTTTTATTTGTATCTCGAACCACCAACAGAAAAATCATAACAGAACGTCTTGATTTGTTAAAATCTATCTACATGAAGCGATTTACTTATATCTTTAAATTCTAATGTCATGTTATATTACACTACATTTTGGGTGCATATTAGTATGTTTAAGGTTTAAACCTCCTTGTTTTTTAAAATACTTGTTATCACAATGAAGATTTATTAAAATGTAAATTATACTTTGTAAATTAAGATATTGTCTTATTAAGCCTGTTTATACATTGTTTTTTTTAAGTCAAAAAATTTACTTCAAAATTTCGAGTGATGTTTTAAGATTTTAAATGTGTTGATAAAATAAAAAAATCATCTTATTAACGGGACTTTCCGTATTAAGTTATGATTTTATGTCACATCGAAGGTATAGAAGATGTAATACATGTGGAAGAAATTTATTATTATTATTGTGGAATAAATGAAATAAAAATTTGAATATTATAATCCGTTCTATGTAATTATTTGTAATACTAAGTGTAACGCTAAGAATTTAAATACCGTAAAATTTTTTTTAAAGAAAGTAAATAGATATTTTTTCTCAAATATTTATTTCTACTATTAAATAAATTATAATCATGTCAAGAAATTCTTCAGTTTATTTCATATTATGGATACTACTTCAAGTAGTTAAAGTAAATTGTCAAATGACGCCTTTTAAGCCATTTGTACATCATCGTCATACTGCTACGCTCATTGATGATAAATTGTATATTTTGGGTGGTTCCGATTTAAACGAAAAACTATTAAAAGAGTTTTTTTATCTTGATGTTTCTGTTCCATTCAATACCCAAGAATTATCATGGCAAGACTTATCAAATATTAATATGGTTCCGCCACATGATTCTGCAACAACAACTAAAGGTGGAGCAAACAATAATACACTATTTTTATACGGTGGATTTTCGAATGATCCAAAAATGCCATTGGTTTACACATTTGACCCACAACACATTGCATGGAATCCTCCAAAAATAACTGGAATTAACACGGTCATAAAATATGAATTAACAGGAGTTATGAATTATAATAATGGAAAATTTTATTTATGGAGCGGAAATATTGATGTGGGTATTTCAAACAATATGCTTATTTTAGACACAATAAATCTTAACTGGGAAATGGGAAGTATAGTTAATGCTCCAAGTTCAAGATGTAATTATGGTGCTGCCTTATTACCCAATAATAAGATTATTTACATAGGTAAGCGAGTAATTTTTTATGAACATATATTTATTTAACAAAAATTATATTTCACACTGCAGTGTTCAACAAATTTGCGAAATAAAAAAAAATCAAAAAACTTAAGCGAAGTATATGCTTCAGCATTAAGTACTTTGTGAAATATAATTATTAAATTAATAGAATCAGCTCAGCTAGACTATTAATAATATAGAATAAAAAGTTAGGTAACAAATAAAAAATACATAAATCATATAACTGTGGTCTAGTACAAAAAAAATAGTATTATTCAAATTCTTTTTTCTGACCATTTTCAAGAGTGCTGAGCAATTTTAATTAGTACAACATGTTTAGTTTAAGTTATAATTTTTTTGAAATCACATACTATGATGTTTTAGTAAGTCGTTATTTAATTACTGTTATTTTATTAATGAACGCTTATTGTTTAGGCGGTATGAACGATGATACTATTAAGTTTGATAGGAAAACTTTGAATATTATTCAAGGTGCCGCTTTAACATTAAATGAGGTAAATTTTGTGATATGTAATTTTTTTTTCTAAAAATCAATTAATTTTAAAAATTATTTATACAGGTTTATATATATGATATGATCAATGACAGTTGGGATACAAAAGTAAGTTATACAAATTATTATGTAAAAATATTAAATTAACTATTATTAAAATAAAATATGTGTATTAATTTTATTACTGAAATTAGATAACATCAGGAAAAATACCTTCTAATAGAGGTGGCTTTTCCGCCATTCTTGGTATGAATTATGAGAATATTATAATTAATATTAAAAAGAAAATATTAATGATAAATGCAATTATTTAACAGGTTTGGATGGTCAGAGAATTATAATTTATGGAGGAATTTTTAATAATCCCGGATATTTAGATACTTCACTTTATGTATTAGATTTAAATGATTTTAATTGGTATGTTCCAAAAATATCTGGAAAAATTCCAAAGCCTAGAGCTTATCATAAAGCAAACGTGATCGGAAAATATATGGTTATATCATTTGGTAAATATAATATTTCAAATATATTAATTATTCTTAAGCAAATTAATTTTTTAACAAAAAATAATTTGATTTAATAGGATATGAATATGATAAAACAGTTGAAAGTGATATATTATTGCTTGATATCAGTAATAATGAAGAATATATATGGACATCAATGTTTGATCCAAAAATGCCATCCCCACCGCCATCATCACCACCACCATCATCACCACCATCGACACCACCATCAACACTTTCACCACCACCTTCACCTTCACCTTCACCTTCACCTTCACCATTACCATTACCATCAAATAATCTAAGCAATACAACTGGTGCAGTTTTGGGAACTTTATTAGGTGGTATTTTATTATCAGTTGGAAGTTTCTTGATATACAAATGGAATAAAAATAAACGAGAACAAAGTACTATACATGGAAATGAAAATTACAATGATTATGGTCAAGAAGAAAAGGAGCTTCCTATCATAAGGGATATTCATAATTATGAACAAGTGATCAATAATAATAATGGGCAAGAAATTATTCAAATACCTAGAAATGAAAATACAACCACAATAATTCCAGCTAATGATCATCATGGGCAAGAAATTATTCTAACGCCCGAAAATGAAAATACAACCAATCATGAACCAACAATAATTCCAGCTAATGATCATCATGAAAATACAACCAATCATGAACCAACAATAATTCCAGCTAATGACCATGGGCAAGCAATTATGCAAACACCCGAAAATGAAAATAATGTAAATATAACTAATCATGAACCAACAATTTCAGCTCCAGCAGTAGTTAGTAATTATAATGATGAAAGGTTATCATTACAAGCTTTTAAAGATGAAATGCTTCAAGCTGTCAAACAAGAAATTAATCAAAATTTGAGAAATGAGATTCTTAAAGTTGTTAGGCAGGAGAGTTATAATAATATAAAAAATAATACAAGACAAGATTAAAATTATTAATTACTATTAATAATAAGTACATAGAGGAATTTATATATGTATTAACTATATACTTTATAATGATTTTATGCTATCACAATATGTAACCTATCCGTTATTATAAAATCGTATATTAGTCTATATTTATCAACCTTTTAAACTAACATACTATTACATACGTCGGCACCTGCCCTGTTCAATTCTATTCTGTTCCGTTCTGATCCGATTAATTTTAGCTAATTAAAAAATTGAATAAATTGAGTGAGTGTTTAATCTTTCCGTTTATTTCCAACCAAGCACATCAATTTTCAATCCGATTTTTAAATTAATTTGATTGGCTAAAAAAATTTAGCAAAAATCGGATCAGAACGGAACAGAATAGATTGAACAGACTAGTATCTTAAAAAAGATTAATGAATTTCAAAAAATATTTAACTTTGAACATTTATTATTATGTCTAATTTAAAATAAACCATCATGGACAAAATGACATATAACCAAATTCAGTTGTTTTTTAATCATTACTACTATTACCTCTGATATGTTGTCTTAATTCTTGCTTTTAGGATTTCTTGTTTCATTTAATCTATTATACTTTTTATCAACATTAATTGATGAACTAGAAACATTAAATTGACTTGTACTTTCACTACTTTGAGCCATTTCTTGTTTAATATCTTTGATAATTTCCTCTTTAAGGTTTTGTACAAATTCAGCTTCTATTGAATTACTCATTATGTCGTCCTTGACTTAAATTTGCTGGAGAAGCTGCTGATAATTTTTTTTATAGTACCGGATGCTTCAACATTTCTTTTTTATTTCTATTATATGTCTCCGCTGAAAGGACCCCTATATTTATAGAAGATTTCCTCCGGTTAAACGCAGTTATTTGCTCATAATAAAAAAATATATTATATGTTTCCTTATCATTTAAAAATCTATTTTCGATTATGTTTGAAATCGGAATCTCTTAATTTTAAAAGTTGTAGTTATGGAAATATAAAGCAACTAATATAAAATAACATTATTAGACTTACTAACTGGTGAAAATGTCATACTTTCCGGAGTTTTTACTGGTCCCAGTGATGTTACTGATGTTATTGTTGCTGATTCTTTTAGTAGTGCTTTGGTAATACAGTCAGACATCTATAATTGCACTCTCCATAATTGCACCTACTATGTATACCCTCTTTAAAATAGAACTGCTACTACCAAAAGTATCACCACTAAAGACTCACAAAAGGACTACAGTCAGACCTTTATAATTGCACCCCTTGGACCATATGCATAATTTTCAAAATAGTGCATTTAGAGAGGGTGTGCATTTATAGAAGTAAAATAATTAGAGATTATATAAGCTTTGGACTGAACTACTAGAGGGTGCATTTAGAGTAGTGTTTAGACTTCAGACCCGTAACCCGTTATTATAACGAGTTAGAGTTTGGAATCGATTAAGGTTAATCGATTAATTAATCGACTAAGACGGTTAATCGATTAAGGTATCTCAAAAATCGGTTAATCGATTAAAATTATCAACCCATAATTCTGGTCAAATTATCTAATGCGCCCCAGAGCTGTGGATTTTTGGTCACGTGTTCTCCGAACTTGGAAGAATTTGTATTAATTTTTTAATGATAATAATAATAAATAAGACTTTCCTATTACTAAATGTATGATCAAAAACAATTTGGTGCAATCTGCGGTCAAAAAAAAAATTTTTTTAATATTTTAATATTAATCGATTATTAATCGATTAGGGCCCTTGGTTAATCGATTATTAATCGATTAAGGGTTTTTTGGTCGGTTCCAACCTCTATAACGAGTTATAACGGATATCCGTTAATATCGGGTTTACGGTTTTAAATTTTACAGCAAAATTCGAAATATAGTGGACACTTGAAAATTGTGATTGTCGGGATTGTCGTTATGAAAAGACATATAACACGTGACATATATATATATGATGGCGTAGTATAAAGTATAATAGAGTATAATATGTAAACATATCAAATATAACATAAATTAATAAATTAAACTTTTTTTCAACAATATTACTTTATTTGATTTTTATTGAACAATGACATTTTCTTTGGAATTTTGTTTGAATGCCTGTCCAATTTGTCTTATTTGCTTAGATTGTCAAAACACATATGATCAAAAATGCACTTGTCAAGCAAGAGAAGTAATATGGAAGAGGAAAAAAGCTAAACGTAATTATGCAGTAGAATTTGTTCACAGACCCCTCACACAAAAAGGTGCCACAAACCAAAAAGTTGTGTTGGACTCGGAATTTGTTGACTGGGTTTTTGCTAATATTTCGAACTTTTACCAACTCAAAATGATGTAAATATTTGTCAAAAATGTATACTTCTCTATATGATAAGCCTTTCAAAATCCTTTCAACTGTTAATGCTTATTTAGTATTGATTTTGGCATCATACAAAAAATCAAAAGAAAATAACACGGGTATATTTAATTAAATTTTAATATAACATAATTACATTATATAGTATATACAATTACCACGCCATCATATATAGTACTCTGTCTAATAACCCACTAGCCGAGTAACCTGAGTACCCGACAATCCCTACAATCAAAATTTTCAAGTGTCCACTATATTTCGAATTTTGCTGTAATGGGTCAACCCGTTTACCCGTTAAGAACCCGGGTCTGAACACTAGACTTCTTTCGGTGGTTCTTTTTTAGAAAATCCTTTTGGTAATTGCTAGTTAAATTATTATTATTTATACAATTTTAACAAATTTTATGCGATTTCAGTTCAGGTAGAAACACTTTTTTTTTTTTAAGAAAGATTATTTATTACACAAAAAATTAATTTAATAAATAAATCCAATTTTTTTTGCAATCAATAATATATGAATATAATTTCGAAATAATCAATTTATAATTACTTATTATCGTATAACGGGGGCCATAGTATCCGGGTATGGAACAATGCTGGAATGCCAATCTATTAGAAAGACCTAACATTGTTATACTTTTGGAAAAAATAAGAGAAATTAAATTATATTATCAAAATAAACAAATGAATTACCTCAATCAATAATAAAAATAGATAATGAAATAAACAATAACACGAGCAGTAAATCATTTAAAAGTAAAACTCATAAATTTGAAATTTACCTGAACCATAAAATGCAACAGAAGGTATAGTGATTATTTAATAATTATTATTTATTTAACTTTCTATTTAACATCATTAGTGTTAATGATATCCTTTTTTAACTAAATAGAAGAGCACAAAATCATATTACTAGAAATTCTTTTAAAATATAAAAATTCAATGATACAAATTTCAGAGGTTTTGACCTGCCATTGCGTGAGTTTTTATTATTAGTAGATAATGTATAAACAATTGGGTTATTTATTAAATTATTTTAAATAATAAAATCGGTAGAAAATGGAAGTTCTTTGGGGTGGTACTGTGGCCCGCAAAATACGGTAACCTTTGAAATGGAATAATGGAATCACAATTATAATAGTGCGATAGCAACCATTACTACAACTTGCGTAACTATACGGTTGAATAATAGTTGCATGTTACTTCATAAAGATATTTAATGTTAAATATAATATGTATATCTTTTTGAATTTAAAAATTAAAAGTGAGATTAATTTTTTTTATGTAATTTTGTTAAATTGTATAATTCCCTTTCTCTAATTTTAAAGTCAACTAAAATTCTATTAATTTATTCATGTAAAAACACTTCACTTCACTCTCATTTTGCTCTATTATCAGTTTATCATAGCTATTATAAATTTATAATAACAAAAATTTTTACTCAACTCGTGACTTTGAAATAGAGGATAATATAAAATTTGATAAAATGAACGCAAAAAATCCTTAATAAGAATTAACAAATTAATAAAATAACAATGAAAAATTGTCTCCATCAAGTTTTACTTCAAATTCTTGCTTATCCTATATAGTAAAAATCTAGACAGACCGCGAGATTTTTATAAAACTTGAAATATTGAGATTATTGTGATTCATACAATTAACACAGGTCATCAGTCACGGAGTCACCAATCGGTTATCAAAGAATAAATATGTTAATTAAATGATAAGTTTTAACAGATTTTAAAAACTAAAAATCATAAACCCAAATTGCCAACATCATAGTTTTAGCATATTATATTACTTTGCTATTAAATTTCTTTATAACTATGAATCTCTAAATTATTTTCTTAATATTATTTATTACCTTTCTGTTTATGAAAATTCTTTATTAAGTTGATATAAACTTCAGTTATATTTGGAGTTATAACACTATTTACCAAATCTATTAATTCTTGTTAAGATAGTCGTATTTTAATCGTACTTATCATTAATCTCGGGTTTTAGCAGACTATTAAAATTCATTAACTTTAATTCCGAATTCATTAGTCAAATTTAGTTGACATCTATAAATCTATTAAGAATTAAAAATTCTCTCATTATATATATACAATTAATTATTTCTTAATCTTATCAATATAAGAAAGAAAAGATTTTTAATTATTATCGTTATTACCCTCTCCATATTAAACAATGAAAATATAGCATAGCCAAATGTGTTAGAGTGTGAAAATGGCTCGTATCCGATATAAGTTCCTCAGTAATAATATGTACACTCCCCGGTAAAAAGTATCCGACCACCCTAAAAATTAAAAAATCTTAAAAAATTCAGTGGGCCCAACAATAAATTTATATTTATTTTAAAAGTTTGAGACATGAGACACTTTTTAAAAGTGTTTTTTTAGCTTAATTATTAGTAAAAATTCGCGGACATTTTTA